AAGCCGGTTTGGCACGTCTGGAGGACCAAACGCAGGGACTAGGGGAGGATATGAGGGCGTTGGATGTGGAAGCGATTGCGAGGACGGTGAGGGAGAGGCAGAGGGAGATGTTGGGGCAGACTTAACGTGGTCACGCACACCTAGGTCTTGTCCACGCATGCAGTCTTTCGTCAGCGAGCCCGCCAAATTGCAAACGCCTGTGCATAAGTACCACCTATGCGCTATGTAAGGCAATGCAGCCTGCTGCCGTCGTAGCTTCGTGAAATATCGATAGACCCATCGATAGATGACCCCCCGACTGTCCCGTATATAACCGCGAGATATCCAACCAGTAGCACCCCTCAAGTAAGCGTCGCCATCGCAGCCGCCACCAACTTCGCCTTCGTGCGTCGCTCTGCAAGCAGCACACCAATAGTCAGCATATGACCCAACCATCACAAACCGCGAAGCATGCCGAGAAACAAGGGGAGAACATGTGCAACACAGCGACCCAACCCACCCTTAGTGTGTAGATCGAACCAGCGCCATCCTACCTTTCCGATCCTTCTCCACCCTCATCACATTCCTCGCCGGACTCTTCTCCCTCTCCACAATCTCCAACACCTCCCTATCGGCCCTCCGCCGCCCTCCCTCGCGGTACTCCACAAGCTGGAACTCCTCTTCCGGCCGCTCGCTGCGGACACGGAGAGCCATGTCGCGCTTTTCCTCGGCTTCGCGCTCGAGGCGCAGGGCGCGGCGCTCAGCTTCCAGCTGCCGGATCTCGGACTGGATGTCCCGGTCGCTACGGTAGTCGGTGCGTTCGCGGATCACGAGGGCGCCAGGTGGTGGCGGTGCGCCGGGCGGTGGGGGGGGCGGCATGCGCTCTTCGATGACCGTGCGGCGTTCTTCGTAGAACTCCGGGATCGGGATGGAGCCTGGCGGGGGTGGCGGGGGCGCGCGCTCTTCGAAGACGGAGCGGCGTTCTTCCACGTATGTGCCGGGTGACGAGGGGCGGCGGGAGCGCGTCCGTGTCGTGCGGGCTGGCGAGGTGCGCCGGGTGGTGGTGCTGCGTGCGCTTGGTGACTCGGCTCGGACAGTGCGGGCGCGCTCAGACCGTGCGCCCGTCATGATGACTGTCGGCGGGTTGATCCACTCGGTCTTCAGAATCTCCTCGTGCTCGCCCATGGGAGGCGGCGGCAGAGGGGCAGGGACGTGCTCTTCCACTCGCTCCTCAAAGCGGTAGACCGTCTTGTTTCCTAGAATATTGTCAGTCGATCATTCAAGATGCACTTGCCAGGTCCTGTCACTTACCGCCTTCCTTGTACTGCTCGCTGATTTTGATCACCTCATCAATCTGATCCTTCTCGAGCGCTATCCGGAGCACGTAGAAGTTGTCTTCTTCATCGTATGGGTACCCGAGATCCTGGATCGCCTCGCTGCGCACCAAGCGCTTCGGCATGCGAGTCTTGCCTTTCTTGAAGCCTCGCCGGGTCTCGGCAATGCTCTCACGGATGCTTTCGGCCTTGTCGACCTCCTCGAAGCTCTCGCTGCTCTCACTGCTCGGCGATGTGCGTCTGGTAGTCACGGACTTGGCCCGCGTGCTCTTAGTCTTACGCGTAGGTGCCTCGCTTGGAGCCTTGCTGCGAGCGTCGCCTCCTCGGTGACGGTGCACGGAGCGCTCACGTTGAATCTCTACCTCGCGGTAGTCCTCGGGCGCACGGTAGCGTGGCCCTTCTTCGTAAATGTCTTCGTGTCGCCGGATGGGCAGTGGGACAGGCGTGTACGCCGGCATCCGGTACTCCTCCTTCTCGTAGCGTGCCGGCCGGCGGTCGAACGTATCCAGACTGCTCTGACGCCGCAGCAAGCCCGGTCGTGCCGGAGGACGTTGCTCAGACTCCACCTCCTCTTGCCGTCCGATACTCTTCCGTCTGTACGGTGTAAGTGCCATCTCCGCAAGCTCGCGGGGGTCGACATCGCCGAACAGCTCTCTGTCCGTCCTTCTCCGCGGCCGCGCAGAGCTCGGCGTGAAGCGGTCTTCCTCAACATAGCGATCGCGTTCGTGGTAGGAGCCAGCCGGGCCTCGCTCGTCGATACGGTCCGCTACCGCAATCTCCCTCCGACCTGGGCGGTCACGCTCGGAGAAACGATAGTCCTCTTCGAAGCGCTGCGGCGGTGGTCCGCGTGCGCCGAAGCGCTCGAATCTATCCCGATCCCATCGCTGAGGTATCTCGCCGTATGCCAGGTTGTCCGCAGACGACCGTGGTCCGCCCCCGAAGCGTGACATGCTGCTCAGTTGCTGTCCTCGTACGTCGCTTTTATCCAAGGTCAAGCTCCGTCAATGCCTGTTCAACGTGGTAGCGGTAGACCTGAATGTTGCCGTCCTTTCGACTTGACCAGGCGGACTTCCAAGTATGTATTCCGTCTTGAAGTGACACAGTTGGAGGTGGTGCAGCTCTTCCAAAGCAGGCTGTTGGTGCGAGTGGCTAGCAGGATGCAAGCGGTGCGTCACTTTGGCCCAATCGGCAGGGATGCTGCCCGAGGTGTTGTTGATGATATGGGCTGGCACTGGAGGCGCAGTGGGAAGGGATAGGGATGGCAATTTGCCGTTGGGTTTTTGGCTGCAATGCGAGGAGAGAGAGGATGGAAGTTGGGCAGCAAGGCCGCTCTCATCTCACCTCCGATAGTGACGTACGATTCATTGCGGGCACGTGCGAATTGCGCCAAGACAAGTGTGATATCGACCTCCTGAGGTGCTCACGCCAACAAGCGCTCCTTCACTGCCAGCACCGGCAGCCCTAACATCTCGATGCAAAGAAAATGAGTTGGTAAACACCGAGCGACTGCAAAGATACGAGGAGCATGGTTTCGTTGGTTACAGCTGTTTCGGACGTGACCTTGTAGAACGCTACCCACGTCCAGCTGCCGTCTCATAGGAGACCTACCTTACGTTGACCCTACATGTATTCATGAGCCTCCGCTTTGCGGGCTGCATCCCTCACAGACCCGACTTTGTCCTCGATGGAAGGATTTCAATAAGTGCTGAGCTGTATCGTCGACTTCGAGAGAGCAAAGTTCGATACCGAAGACTTTAACCCGCCGACGACAGCGTACTGGGACTTATATTGAGGCGGATCAGGAAGTGCTGGCAGATGAAATAAAAATGGCTGGCCCGGCTGCTCCCTTAGGCTGCTAGACGCTTTGATGGGGTTACTGAGAGATTATCATTCCCTCTATATTCAGCAGTCCAGTGTGATTATCTCATCCCGAACGTCGAAGCGGCGTCGCAACAGCATGGAAGGCCTCTGTTGCATGACGAAAATACCGCCAACGCTCAACGACACAGGCCCTTGCTGGATCTTCACCCAGGGGTAGGCTTCCGGCCGTAGTAAGTATGGCTACCAGGCGTCAGCAACGTTCAGCATCCACATACGACATCCACTCACAACTTCAGATAATGCCGTGCCTCATCCGCACGCAGCTCCCCTCTCACCTTCTCGAGCAGTTCGTCGACCTCAGCTTTCTCCATACCCAGGCCCTTCGTCAGTGGACCCATATACAACGATTCCATCCCCTGAAGCAGAACCTGGCGCCTCAGCAAACCCTTCTCCTTGTCCACTTTATCTTCCGGCCAACAACCCACCGGCGTGGTAGTGACGACCTGATGATTCTGGTACAGCCCACCTTGATCGAACAGCGGCTGCAGCGCTGCGCCCTTCCACAGGTCGATGCCGAACTTGGCGATACCGGCCGCTAGCTTCTGCTGCGCCTCCCAGTAACACGAATGGCGACACTTGTCGATATCCAGGACGTCGGGACAGGCGCAAAATATCCGAGTATGCAGTTCCTGCCACTCAAACCAACCTCCCGGCTTCAGGTGCTTGACGGCTTGCTGGAGCATGCGTCGCGGATCTTTGATAGCGGCGCAGAACATGCGGGCATGGATGTAATCGAACTTCTCCTCGTCGGGCAGGAACGTCGACCAATCTGCCTCAAGGTCACCGGTTCTCATCTCCAAGCGCGCAGGCAAGTCGTCCGTTTCCGGCAGAGACAAATCAACACCGACTACCGTCGCCTGCGGATACTCGTCCACGAACTCCCTCGCCCAAATCCCGGTACCGGTCCCTATGTCTAGGACCATGATGGGCTTGTCGGGGGCCAGCGGCGCCAGGGCCAGCTGGCCGTCGGTACACATGCGGAGCAGGACGTGCTGCGTGTTCAGGCGGAGGTACTCGGGCTCGTCGTGGGGGAGTAAGTAAGTGCCGTCGTCCTTGTAGGCCTGGTAGCGGCGCCCGTTTTCGTACTTATAGGTGTTGGATTGGGCCATGTTTGCAGAGGCTGAAGTTGCGTCCCTGTGGATGGGAGTGTTGAAACAACACAAAGCCGTGTGATGGCAAGGACCTCACCTTCCGTTGCAAGGATGGAATGCTTACCTCGTTGCTAAATCGCCGGGGATAGACTTGACACTTGTAGTACTTGAGCGAGCCACAATCGTCCAAAGGACGCTGTGTAATGCTGCCGGTTTCGCTTCCACCTCGCCAAATCCCTATAAGCATTACCTACTCAGGTGTTCGGCGTAGCGACTGACTCCGATCCCGCGCATGCATGAGGGCAACATCAAGCGTCGGCCACAAGAGCTCGCCGCAGAGACATCTACAGCGGCGGCATCTCTGGCTGTGCTCACAGCATGCCCTTTAAAGGTCAGTTGACGCGTGCGGTCATTCAGGACGTAGGTGTTGTGGCTAGATTCTCTCGCGCGTCTTTCACCGTTTCACGCGTCGTCCCCGCGTGTCTGGATCCTCGCACATCTGACTCAGCAGTCGTGGAAGACCCTATGAAAGTGGAGCGTTGTCTCGAGCCGCCGAGCATTGGAGTCTGGAAGGCTTCTGCGATCTTGTGGTGGAAACCGAGAGTGTTTTCTCGGCTTTATTTTTGAAGCTAACATAAATGACAGCAAACTCATAGCTCTAAATCTTTTGCAGGCGTGCTCGTGCGAAACTCTTGAACTTCTCGCAGTTCTCTGCGGCCGTTTGGCTCAATGGTAGAGCGTCCGCCTCCTACATACTGGTAAAGCGGAAGGTGTACGTTTGCCCCAGTCCTGGCCCGGAATGTGATGTACTAATCAAATTACAGTGTGGTATGTTGCCTCTCCTTTGTAAGATCCTCGTTCCATCGTTAATGAAATGTGCAGGGTTCGAGTCCCATGATGGTCGTGAGTGTCATGATATTTTGCTTTTGTGCCGACTGCCTACCAGACAGTTCGTCGGAAGCGGCTATGTACGTAAACTACATGGCCGCTGTTGGCTGGTGGTACGTTTTGCCCCTCACGAAGTAGATGCAACTGCAAGATGATCGGCACGCTTGGCAGTATATCATACGTCCCAGTCGTTCCTCTGATCCGTCGACCCGGTTTGACTACAACATTCCCACCTCTCATCGCCGCTACTGCTTTGAGATCCCGGGGCGTTCTTGCTCATCTCTTGGGAGACAAAGTTCTCATTGTAATCCCTTGGGGGTCATTCGCACCAACCGCGACTCTCAATCCGACCCAAAGCAGTCGGTTCCCATGTTCTCGGCGTAGCTCAATGCAAGCGCAGAACACACCTTCAGTATACCTTGGCCTTGGTTCATATGAGAACCCCGCACCGAGGTTTCGATCACCCAATGCGAGAACGATTCGTAGCGTTTTGAGTATGGCCAAGAGCCCTCCTCCAGGCCGACAAGTGCATGGATCGGCATCCGCATAACCAGGTCCAGTATAGCTGAGTCGCTGCTGGTCTTCGAAGCTGTGCATTCGAGCCTCGCATGCTGGTGGGTGATCATCGATCCGCGGCAAGGGTGGTGTCGCTGGGGCAGGCAGCATGCCAAATCATAGGACTACGTCGTATCCTGTAGGTGGTGGTCAAATATAAAAACCACTCCTGATTCCTGTCGACCCCGTTCGTTGGTATTCGCTCAATCTCGTACACTCGGACTACTGCCAGCTCTGATCATGCATCTTCTTCCCTTCTTCACGCTGTTGGCGACTGCTACTGCTGCAGCTGTTCCAGCTATTAAGGAGCGTCAAGCAGCTTGCTCTACCGCTAGCTCGTCAACCTTGGCGGCGGCGAAAGCAGCGTAAGTCGTATATATCAGCATTACCCGTGAACCACGCAACCCGCAAGATCGGTCACTGTGGAACATTACGGACCAGTTTGCCGCTGTACTCGGCGCCAGAGCCAGACTCCGGTGGTTCGGACGGATGAGTGTTGGCGTGCGAACGTCTCAGACACTGGCTAATCGGCGTTCGTCAACAATAGGTTCACGCAAGCAAAGCTCGTTCCAGATGTGATTCCCAGCTTCAATCCGACGCTCTCCGTCCAAGCCAACTTCAATGGCATGCAGGTCAATCTAGGCAACACCTTCAGCGCTACAGGTGAGTTCTGGTGCTGACGAACAATGCCAAGACAACCGCTGACAGCGACTTACAGAGACATTAACGCAACCATCCGTCAGCTTCTCCGCCGAGCCCGGTTACGACCCTTCGAAGACCAAATACACAATCTTCCTCGTCGACCCGGATGCGCCCGGCCCAGCGGCTCCCATTCTCAAGGACTTCCTGCACCTCATCATCTCCAACGCGCAGCCGTCGTGCATCACCACGCAATCGCGGACGACGGTGGCCTCTTACATGCCGCTCACGCCCCTGTCCGTCGCGGCGCACAGGTATACCTTCTTGGTGTATAGACAGCCGCCGAACTACACGCCCCCGCCGAGCATCAATTACCTGCCGGGCGTGAGGAACAACTTCGATCTGAATGCGTATGTTGCCCAGGCTGGGCTGATGGGTCCCGTGGGGGGGAATTTCTTCCGCGAGGGGCTGGCCTCGACGGTGTGCGCTGTCACCCCGGGTTGCACGCAGGAAGGCACTGGGTATCAAGCGGCCTAAGAGGTAGGATGCGGAGGTGCCTTCTGGCCCCTGGGTCATGGCCTACGGATAGCGAGCGGTGTTCCTGCCGAATTCGGTAAACGGAGCAAGTGGCTGTTGCCTAGTCTGCAGATCGGATGATTTACGAAGCCGCTCTCGTTATTGCCAGCTCTGCCTCGGCTGTGTTATAATCCTTGCAATGTGGTCGTCCTTTTCCAATTCAGCCCTGCGAAGATGAACTGCCGACTTGCCACGTGGAAATCGAACGGCATTTGCGCTCGGAGCAACCTCGGGGTAAGCGGGCGCTGCCTCTTCCTCGCCCCTCCACATTGCGTCACCCCCACATGCCGACCTCCAAAACTGCTGCTTTCCTCCAATCACGCCGGAGTGAAGTGGCAGCGGAGTCGGCCAGGAACATTTCCTGCTGGTGTCCACTTCACCGGTGGACATCTCCTTTGCGTCGCGCACTCTTGCGGGTCTGTCCGGGCTCAACAGCGTTAACGGGCGGCCTTGGTGCTGCAAAGTGAATCGGTGGGCCTGTTTGAGACTCACTGCACCCCCCACGCCCCGCCTGTGGACCCCGGACATTGAAGTTGCAAGTACATGAGAGAGTCTTCTCAGAAATGAAGGCTGTGCCATAGCCCTTTCCTAGCTTGTCAGTCAGTACCCTATGCATCAACTGCAACCCGCCCTCCGACCTTCCTAACAGCCGCATACCAGACCGACTCCTCCACCGAAAGTGGGCACCATGCCTGAAGCTCTCCTCGACGACATCTCCCACCGCCGATACAACCCGCTGCGAGGATCGTGGGTATTAGTGAGTCCGCATAGGACCAAGAGACCGTGGCAGGGACAGCAGGAGGCTTCGAGCAGGATACAACTTCCCAGCCACGACCCATCGGTGGGTAGCCATAGCATACCAGCATGGAGACAAGAAAATGTGTGTCTGACGGGCGTAGTAGTGCTATCTCTGTCCTGGCAATAAGCGCGCACAAGGTGATGTCAACCCAAAGTACGACAGCACATTTGTGTTCGTCAACGACTACGCTGCGGTGAGAGAGCAACAGGCCGAGTACGAGCCGCCGGCACAAGATGGCTGTGGGTTCTCATATTGGCGAGGGTATGAGAAAAACCGGGGCTGATCAATTTCCAGCGCTTGCGACCCGACTTCTCAAAGCGGAAAGCACGACCGGAAAATGCTACGTCATCACCTTCTCGCCAGAACACAACGTTACCCTCGCGGACATGCCTGCCTCGACCATCGTGCCCGTGATAGATACGTGGACTAAAATCTATACCTCCCATCTGGATCCACACTCGCCACTCGTCAAAGCGGCGAAACCGACCACGATGCCGCCTTCGGGTACCAACGGCAGCCTCGTCGACCCACCTAAACAGCAGTACCGGTATATGCAGATCTTCGAGAACAAGGGCCAGGCGATGGGCTGCTCAAATCCGCACCCACACGGCCAGATATGGACGACCACTTCGCTGCCGGAGGAGCCCGAGGTCGAGCTGCACAACCTCCAGCAATATCGACGAGAGCAAGGCGGCTGCAATCTTCTCGAGGACTACGCCAAGCTGGAGAGTGAGAAAGGCGAGCGGACGGTTCTCGAGAACAGCAGTTTCTGGGCGGGGTGTCCGTGGTGGGGTACCTGGCCGTTTGAGATTATGGTGGTGGCAAAGGAGCACAAGCGGGCGTTGGTGGATTTGGATGAGCGGAATAAGGAGGATCTGGCGGAGGTGATCGCGGATATCACGAGACGATATGACAATCTTTTCGAGACGAGCTTCCCTTACAGTAAGTTTGTCGTACGACTGAGGTCTGGTGTAAGTAAGGTACTGACACCGGACACAGGCATGGGCATCCACCAAGCACCACTCACCGGCACGACGGAAGAAGTCGAGGCCTCGCACTTCCACATGCACTTCTACCCCCCATTATTGCGCAGCGCCACCGTCCGCAAGTTTTTGGTGGGTTACGAGATGATGGCCGAGCCGCAGCGGGATATTACGCCGGAGCAGGCTGCGAAACGACTGCGAGACTGCGGCGGCGAGCTGTACCGACGGAAATTATAGACAATGTTATGGGAAGGGAACGACTTCAATGGGTATGCATACTAGCGACGACGGCGGCAGCACTCAACGGGGCGTCTCGAAGGTATTGGGAGGAGGTAGTTATGGAGGAGTAGCAAGGCGTAGAGCAAGACACGGTCTGTTTAGACATAGCTATTGTACAAGGGAGCATTGTGACGTGCTAGCAGTAGCCGATCGAGTCGCTCTTCCAACTTTCACCATGTTCATGTCTGGAGCAGTCGGAACCGGGTGCTTACTAAAGTGGCGCAACGAAGAACTGCGAGGTGGTTGTTTGATGATGAAGCAGGAAAGATCAAGGGAGGTCTAGGAAGATCGCGTCACGCATAGCACACATGCAGTTCAGCAGGTCCAGTGCGACGACGGCAAGCTTGCATGAATACATGGCTGGTGGGACTGTCACAGCCAGACAGACCAGGCAAGCGTGAAGTTCCGTCTGATACTTGATGTACAACACTCACGGCTGCGCTCGTAGAGCCTCACTAGCTTTCCGCAAGCCTGCTTTGGCTCTCCCGGGTACATCCTCAGCATCCATCACCACGTCAACGAGCTTCAGCCCTTTCCCAGCATGGATGCCATCCTGAGCAAGCAAGTCTTGCAAGTCGCCCATCGTCCGCACAGTCTTCTCCAGGACGGGATAGTCATCTTGATGATCTTCTGCCCGGAAGAACGAAGCAGCCTTTGCGTACCGCCAACTCGGCACATCGTTGTACTCGGCCTCCATACCATTCAACCAACGCTCGTACGTGTATCCGCCGTTGTTCACGATGAAGATCGTGACGTCTAGCCGATACCGTATGATATCCGAGAGCGCCTGGCAAGTCACCTGGAAACTGCCATCGCCCTCGAACAGGATCGTGCGGCCGGGCAGGCCGCTGTCACGCTTCGCTAGGGAGATACCCTGGGCGGCGGGCAACATTTGACCGATGGAGCACCAGATGCTGGAGGCGACGACTTGGGTTGGCGAGGGGAATGTCATGTCTCGACCGCCGATCAGGGGTGTTCCGTTTGCTAGGAGGATGGTGTCGTTCGGTTTGAGATAGGAAGACATTGTTGACCAGAACACATCTTGGGTAATGCGATCTGCTGCGTTAGACGCTGACG